CCCCCCCCCGTCGATGAAACTAAGGCGCGAGGATTCCTTCAGGACCCAAACGCCACTTTCCAGCCGGAAAAGCTCACCCGGAAGCACTTTCTTGTCAAACAAGATGGCAGCGCCCAGCAAACCGGCGGCCCGGTAGGAAATGTTCCACGGACCGGTACCGGTCTGCGGCCCGGTGGTTGGGGACCCCTGCTTTAAAGTCCCCAAAGATCCCACTGGGAGGGTAGAGAGGATTCTGGAAGGCTGGCCATCCTGCCTACAAATGGGTATTTTGTGATCTGCTATGCCTACTTGGATGGGCATTTTGTGAGGGCACCAACCATATGATGTGCCCTGCATCAAAAGGTTTTCCTACTTCTGCTTCAGTGTTGAATCCAGCTAACTATGGCTTAACCAACCATGGCATATTATAGCATACATATTCGGTTACTATACATTATCTGGAGAACCCAGAAAATCAAAAGTGGAATATGATGGCAGATGAGATTCTGCCGAAACGTTGCTACAACTTTAAAAGCACAACTATAATGACGTGGGAAAACACCCGAACAAAGCTGAATACCGTGTGTGTGTGTGTGTGTACGCACACACACACACACACACACACACACACGGATCTTTGGTTATTCGGGTTTTCTCCCGCATAAAATTGCAAGTATCTTGGTGACGTTTCGATGAGATCTCATTCGTCATCTTCAGGCTTGTGTCTCCAGCTTTGTGCAGCTGCTTCCTTTTAACTGCTAGTAGGGGTGTGACTTGATTGGGTGGGGGTTTGGCTGTGTTCTGATTGGGTGGGAGTGTGTTCTCATTGGTTGAAGGTTTGGCTGTGTTCTGATTGGTTGGGGGGTTGGCTGTGTTCTGATTGGCTGGGGGTGTGTTCTGTTCAGGTGGGGGCTTGGTTGTGCTCAGGTTAGTCTTAGTTGCTGGGGGATTTTTATATAATGTATGTATATAAAATATATCACAGATGAGATATAAATGAACAAGTCAACCTTCCTCCAACCTACATTTTATTATGTACTAGGATTAATTCCACAGCATTGATTGACTATTGCACAATATGAATAAGCAGCCACTATATCTTTCTTTTAAAAAAACAGACCTTCATTCTGAACAACAGTTAAGAAAAATTAAACATTTTTTATGTCATTCATAGTTGCAGTGAAAAGTTGTTCATCGTCACATATGTCAGGACTCATTCTTAAATAGTTTAAAATGTATATATTTACATCTACTGGGTAGAAACATTAAAAAAAACAAAATAATAATAAAATGGCATTGATCTACCAGCCTTCCCCATTTTTCTTCTTATATTCCAGTGTTTCTCAATCTCAAATAACGAAAGATATATGGACTTCAACTTCCAGAATTCCCTAGACAACAATTCTGGGAGTTGAAGTCCACATATCTTAAAGTTGTCAAGTTGGAAACACTGTTCTATTCCAATTTCTTCTTTAAAAAATTCTCAAGCTTCTTGTAATGGATTCAATGAATTTCAATAGGAATTTAGATTTCCGTTCTTTAAATTTTTAGCCAATCATTGTTAAGATCTACCCTGTTAGCAATATTTCAGCTTAATCGACAACTATTGTTTATTAGCCTTTAGAGAGTGACAATAAAACTCCAAGCAACAACTATTTTACCAGTTGGGCATGTTCTTTAGTGCACTGAACTCCTAAATTTCACTCAAGGCATAGTTAAATTACTTTATCAACCCTTTGGAATGCATCTTTCAAGTGGCACTCAAAAAAAAAAAAAACCCTTGATATCCTTCTCAAAATAGCATTACTGAGCTATGTATCTGCGTGCTGGCAGAGGAATTCTGAGAGTTGAAGTCTACATATCTTCAAGTTGCTGAGATTAAGAAATACTGATCTGAAGTGAAACCTGGCAGGTGCTAAGTACAACCAAGCTGGCTGATCTCTTCTACCCTCTTGTTTACATTAGCATATTTCTCTACACGTTCTGTATTAGGAAATCTCCATCTTTGCTGTAATGCTTGGCAGGTGCAGAAAACGATACCCAGTTACATCAGACCTTGCAAAACAAGAAGCTGTTTTTCAGTGGATCCATTCTGTGTTACTTAGAAGTTGCCAGGGTTGGTTTCAAGGTTGTCCTTGGGAGATTTATTTCCACCACACGTCGGGTGCCATGACAGTGGATGGCTTCTTTTGGTCGTTGGCGAGATGCTGTCATTCAGTGAGGGAAATTCTGGAAACTGCCATCCTGTTCCATGTGGAATGCCAGAAAATGCAAAATCCGGTTCCCCTAGATAACCCTGCGTTGCATCTGTGGAAGGCTTCAATCAATCATCATCTTCATCTTTTAATGACCCCATAATCCCTTGCGGGGTGTAGTCTTGGGCAACTGAATGCAGCTGAGTGTTTACTGGCCAGATGCCCTTCCTGTCACCAATGCGGAGTTTTGTTTAGCAGATATATTCTCATTGTGCCCAGAGAGAAAAATATCGGCCTCTACCTAGAATTGAACTCACAGCCTCCTGATTGTGAGGTGAGATCTCCACCTCTAGGCCACCGCACCATTCCCATGGAAGGCTTCAATGATAGGCCAAAATGCTGTTGTTTGAAAATCTTTTGTGCAAATCTTCGATCTGGGTTATAGAACAAATGTCAGAATTCTTTTCTCTCAGTGTCTGCCATCCACCTTGTTCCCAATCCTGAGCCCAAGGTGATGTTATTTATCTTTTAAAAAATGTTCCGTTTATTTAAACCAGGGGTCTCCACACGTGGCAACTTTAAGACCTGTGGACTTTCAATTGTCAGAATTCTGGGAACTGCAGTCCACAAGTCTTAAAATTGCCGTGTTTGGAAACCACCAAACGCAGAATAGAAAATAGGATTTTAAAACCTTGACATGTAGCCTTGCCACTACCACACCCTGTTAGATTTATTCATTTACACCCTGTTTCCTTTCCATCACCTGGCCATTCAAAAATTTAAGAATTTGGTTCTGTCCAGCTGTGTAGGCTGTCAACTCACAGAAGGTTACTAACTGGCCTATAATTTGTTTCTCATTCGAGTTTTAAATTAATTAGCAAGTAAATCTCCTTGATCCTGCACCATTATGGCCAACAGTTCTATTTACTTCTCCCCTCAACGTAGGTGAGATGGTCAACCATGTGGCATTATTGTGCTACATGTTCACATTTTTAAAAACAAAAATAAAAATAAAAAATCCTCAGTCTTTGCAGAAACCATTCTGTTCTTTCTCAGGATAGATCATAACGAAGCCAGAATCCGGGCAGAAGTTTGAAAGCACTCCACAAACATATAGACATATGACACATTCTTCCAAAACTTTCTGGTCCTTGCAAAGTGAACAGTTGAAGCCAGATTTGAATGGGTAGTTGTTGACTGCAAGTCGGGGCTACTCAGCCCTGGGTTCTTAAAGGCTACATTGTGAACTCACAACATCCATTCTGAGGCCCTTTGTGGGCGAGACCGCCCTTGGTCACCAGGCCCTAGTACAATGAACTATCGGTGTTGAAAAGTGTGAATGGGGTTGTCAGTTTCTTCTTCATGGCAGAGGTCCCACTTACAGCCGAAGGAAGGCAGAGCGTGCTGGCAGCTTTCTGCCTGTTTTTGGTTCCCCAACTCAAGAAGGACAATTTAGGCGTCACCTTCTTGGTTTTGTCGGTTCTCTCATCTTCCATCGCCAGACATATAAGGGAGTATGTTTTCTGCATCCCCGCTGAGTAAGTGGCACATTTGTTATGCTGTGGGGGAAGGAAGGAGAGAGTTATGAGCATTAAAAAAAAAAAAGATTTAGTCAATGCAAAGTGGAAAGCAATGTTTGAACTACACAAGTAATCCTCGATTTACAATCAAATTTTTGCTCTTTATCACTGCAGTTGTTAACTTAGTGACAGGGTTGTTAAGTGAACCCAGCTTCCCATTGGCTTTTGCTTGTCAGAAAGTCACAAAAGGGGATCCCATGACCACGGGATTTTGCCTGAATTTTGTTCACGTGACCATGAGGAGGCTGCAATGGTCGTAAGGGTGAAGAAAGGTTCCAAGTCACTTTTTTCAGTGCCGTTGTAATTTTGAACATCACTAAATGAACTGTTGTAAGTCAAGGACTACCTGTATTCTGTGATGGGAGGATGCTGTTCTTCTGCATTCATTAAATTCTCTCTGGGCTAGCCTCCAAGTTTATGTAGGTCGACTTTCAAAAAAATTGGCTTATTATTAAATCTGGGTCTGAGATTTGACTTCTCGTAATATTGTTTCTGAACAGGTTCCTTTGCCCAAAGTAAAATGTCCAAAACCCAGAGTTGCAGTTAGCAACAATCTCATCTTTGCAAAAACAATAGGGTCATTTTTTCTAGAAAATTCTGTGCCGGTGACTAGAAAAATGTATATATTGCAAGCAAAAGCTATTTGCTATTTTTAAAAAGCAATTAAAAGTTGCAAAGATTTGAAATGCTGAAGGAATAGACATTTTCTTTCTACCAGTTCCCAGTTTATTTAAATCTTTTTTAAATGGAAACCCACACTATTAGCATTTAATTATTTGCTATGGCAATTGGGGTTAAGAGGATGGGTGAGTTGAGAACTATAATAACAACGGAGAATGAATCTCAGCTTGCCTTTCCTTAGAACACAATTCCATTTTCACCTTCATTTAATACAAATTCAGAGGCCATCCGACTCCAAACAAGCTTAGATGGCTGACACTTTTTTAAAAAAACCCAGGAACAATTAAACAATAAAGATGCATCATACGGGTCCAGATTATTGCTTAAACATAATAAATATCTTGCAATTCTGATGGTCTTGTAGTGAAATTCTGCTCCCAGCTTTACTTACCAAGGAAGGTGCATTATCTTGACAGCTGATCACTTGGATCTCAATCTCCCGTTCGCTCAAATTCTGGAGTTTTTCCAAGACGTCACTCACCCCCAACCATTTGCAATCCGTGTCTTCAACAGCAATCACAGTGTCTCCTTCTTTCAAACCTGCCAACTAAAAAAAAACATCAGCTATAAAGCCAGGCAGAATCTGGTAGACTTTCCTTACCAACCTTAATTGTCCAACTTCACCATGGAAGCCAGATTAAAATAATAAAGGTTTTAAGCTACCCGCCTATCTCTAATCACATAGGATCTGTTGATTTCAATGGGGTATTAAGCCCAATCACTCAACCAATCATGTAGCAATAAACTCCACGATGCCTAGTGGGACTGAATTCTGAATCAACAGATTATGATTTTATTAATAAATAATCTTGGTGATGGGCTTCCTCACTGTGCTGTTAAATCCTAAATTTTCTTCCCTTAGATTTGGCTTAGCATACTAAGTGGATCTAGCCAATTGGGATTTATTTGCTACTCCGAGGTTAAGCAATCTATGGTTTACTGCAATGTATAAACTCAGTCTTGAAGAAGTTAACAAAGGAAAAAGATGGATTATTACTTTCATTGTCTACGAGTAAGGTGCATTAGGCAATGTTTAAATTGGACCAATCCAAAGTGTTAGGAAGAATCCCAGCCTTCTTCTGGATTACAGCTTAAAATAAACTCTACTTTTCAAAGTCATTCGGTAACAGCATTATCAGGGAAGGCATGTCAAATAGCAAAATAAAAGCCCATCAAAGAAAGCGAGTTACGTTTCTGATGGACTCCAATGCATTCTTTTCTTGTGGGAATTAACCCTATCCACTCTGAACAACTCTACCAAGAGGAACCCCTGGATCTAAAAGGTCCACTTACTGCTGCAGGAGAAGCTGGGTCGATGCAGTCAACCTGTACCGGCGGGCCACCTTTGAGAGTGAACCCCAACTGGCCATCTTCACAGTAGAAACGAATGAAGCGAGGGGGTGACCACCTCTGCTTGGCTGAAAAGACCGCAGGTGGGCCCTGAGACACAGAGAGCAGTAGAGCTAAATTATTCAATCCATCTTTTGCAAAATGTTTGTGTGGAGAGAGCTTCTCTCCCTGCAGGTATTCCCCTAGACCAGGGAGTCTTCAAACTTGATAGCTTTAGGACTTGTGGATTTCAACTCCCAGAATTCCTCCTCCATGAATGTTAGCTCAGGAATTCTGGGAGTTGAAGTCCACTGGTCCAGGTCTTAAAGTCCAGGTCTTAAACTTGGCAAGTTTGAAGACCCTCGATCTATTCTATCTATCTATCCTATCTCTTTCTTTCTCTCTATTCTACCTCATTCTCTATATATCTATTCCATCTGTCCTATCTTTCTATCTCTCTCCCTCCATCTATCTATTCTATTCTATCTTTCTTTCTTTCTATCTCTCTATTCTGCCTCTCTTTCTCTATCTATCTCTTCCAGGGGTCTTCAAACTTGACAGCTTTAGGACTTGTGGATTTCAACTCCCAGAATTCCTCATCCAGTCATGTTAGCTCAGAAATTCCGGGAGTTGAAGTCCACAAGTCTTAAACTTGCCAAGTTTGAAGACCCTTGCCCTAAATTCTATGTTTTCTTCTAGAAGCGTCTGTGCAACTGCACAGCAGTTAGTAATTTACATGTTATTCTTCCTAAGCGCAATCAAGACCCCACACACATGGTACCTTAACAATGAAAAGCTTTAGAGGGAATTGTGTCCAGTCCATAACAGAGGTGGTATTTAGCCAGTTCTGACCACTTCTGGAGAACCGGTAGCGGAAATTTTGAGTAGTTCGGAGAACTGGCAAATCCCACCTCTGACTGGAGATTGTACAGTATCCTTTCCCTGCCACGCCCACCAAACCACGCCCACAGAACCGGTAGTAAATTTTTTTGAATCCCACCACCGGTCCATAACTGTCACCATCATACTTGGATCAATTTATAGCATGGTTTCTTGAGTAAGTCCCCCTCCCTGGCTTCACACAGCATACTAAAGCATTAAATTTTTTTAAAAGCCTGGGTTTTATTCAGCAGTTGAAACTGCAAAGCAAAATAATCTATATATGTGGGCCTACTTAAACCGCCTCTAGCCTTAACTGTAAACCTTAACCTCACATTCATCGGTAGACACGACACACTGCTATTTTGCAGCGAGAAGCCCTCCCAAGCGATAGATTTACGTTTCAAGAAGCAGAACCTTATTTTCATAATTATTTTAATTCTGATGCAAGAAGGCAATCATACATATTAAGGGCAATGTGTCATAGTGACAGGAGAGCAGGTAGCTTCAGACGTACCAGTCTTTCGAAGAGGTCTCTCACGTTAGAGAACAGAGGAGGAATCAGTTCTATTTTGTGATTTGTGTGGGCTGGAATAAAAGCAAAGCAAATAGATTTATTTTTTTTGTTAACCACTTCTTGGAAGCTCAGAGCAACACGTTTTCTGTTCATACCCCTCACCCTCTGTCACAGCAGCTGGGTGAAGTAGCTGAGCTCAAGATTACCTCAACATCTTAAATCTTCTAAGGGTTTTTTTCTTCATAGCTTTAGAAGCCCAGAAATCTATCCATTCCAATGGGACTATCCACTTTTAGAAACTCAACAGTGTCAACAAAAATTCTGAGATTAGATTGGAATGGGATTACTTGAGTTTTATGTATTTTATGATTTTTAAAAATTGCTTATAAAATATTTTTGTTTTTAAATGGTTTAAACGGTGGTGGCGGCGGCCTTTTTTCCTGTTTTTAATAAGCTGCCCATGGTTATACACTGTATATGAAATCGGTAGCTACATAAAGTTGGATGATAGATAAATGATAGATAGAGATAGATGGATGGATGGATAGATGATAGATATAGATGATAGATATATGATAAGACAGACATTGGTCGATAGATGATAGATGCCAAGATGAGGTGTGAATCACCACATGTCATTCTCTGTGCTGGATCTGACAATCTATCTAAAAACTGATCCATTCCTGGTCATCCCAGGCAGAAAAGGACTTACGAAGGATATTGGGTGCCGACACCAAACTAAAGAAGTCATCTATTTGCTCCTGCTGGGTATATTTGAGAAGGGACCGCTTGTGTGCGACAGACAAAATCTCTTGAAGGATCTCTATATTCCGGAGCTTTGTGCATAAGCTACAAACCCTTAAGGCTTCTTTGTGATACAGGAGAGCTTTATGCAAATGAAGTCTTCCTGGAGAAGGAAAAAAAAATGAATGAATGAATGACTAAATAAATAGGATGGATTTCTGCATCATAAAAAATCCAGCATTTTTAAGGCACAACAGCTCTGCCTATCAAGAATCATACAAACCACATTACTTAGTGTGACTTGCTGTTCTGTGCGGGAACACAGTTATCCTAATCAAATCAAGGCTACCCAAATTAATTATGATTGTCTACTATGGCAGTGTTGTTTTAACCTCAACAACTTTTAAGTTGGGTGGGCTTCAACTCCTGGAATTGGAGCCCATGATGGCTGGGGAATTCTGGGAGTTTGAAGTCCTTAACCTTCTTAAATTTGATGACATTGAGAAACACTTAGTCCACACAAGCCTTTCTTCCCAAAAGCATAGATCCCACCAGTTTTGGGAAGATAAAACGACAAATCCCGAAGCAAAGAAATACTTAATTTTATCAACCACGGCTAGTTGGATGATAAGCCTTAAAAAGAGTTCACCTCCTACCAGGGCTGGGCTGCTGGAGGTTCACAGGCATTCGGGAGAGCCCCCTAGCTAAGATTCTGTGCACTTCGGAGTACCCCCAAATCCCAGTTCAGGTTGGACCCGTCCGCCCCTCCCCTCCCTGGTGTCCCCACACGGCCCCGTTTTGGATACAGGTAAGTGCAGGGCGCACGTGGAGGCTCGGGGAGGGAAATAAACAGGCCTCCCGAAAGTTCGGAAAGGCCTGAAACGGGCCCATTTCTGGCTTCCAGAGAGCCTCTGGAGCCCGGGGAGGCCATTTTGGCCCTCCAGGAGGCTCGAAGAAAGCATCCAGAGCCCAGGGAGGGCAAAAACACGCACACCCCGCCATGGTGCAGGAGGCCAAGTAGGCCACGCCCTCCATGGCCACGCCCACTCAGCAACTGGGCAGAGGACCCGTTGACCCATTGCTAACATTTTTGAAGCCCATCCCTGGCCCTTACCTAGTTGTTTACGCTGGCTTCTATCTCTTAAGACAGCTAAGGGTGTCATCCCCTCAGGCATGTGGTCGTACAGCTGGCCAAAAGCCTTTTCCTGTTGATCTTCATCATCGGCCTGATGTACTGGGGTTACCAGAACAAATACAAAGGAAAGAGAAGATAAACATTGGTTTACTTTCATTTACCATCCAGGTGAGATGCCTCCAGGCCTGAGGAACAAAGAGCAACACTTAATAGTAACCACCCGTTCCAGAACCTGCTTTTCTTCTGGGATTAGGGCTCCTCGTATTTCAGTCTGTTCCTAAAATTGTTGAACAATCAGTTGCCCAGAAGTGGTATTTCCATCAGCAGGTTAAAAGTCCATTTTCCAACATTGGTTGGACCAGAATGCCCCAAGAAAAATAGAACATCGGGGAAGGCTACTTGTGCCTAATTCCGATGTATTTCCTATTACGGGAGGGAACACGCACTGCTTTTTTAGCTTTTAACCCTTGAATTTTGACAGTGTGAACTTCAGGGAGAAGGGCTCCATGATTCACAAGCGTCGTGGGGCCTGTTTGTGCAGTGGTATCCCTGGGTGGGCTCGGTTCCATTTCTCCAATAAAGGAGAATATTTATAAGTCAGGGTTGAAATGAAGGAGTCTCTGAGCTTAACTGTTTTCTTGCTGGCATTTCACTGCTCAAGCATTACCATGCATGGATGATGTTACCTAGTCTGGGTAACGAAAGGTCTGCAAGAAAACAACCAAACTCAGAGGGCACCATGGACACTTCATTTCTTGGTCCATTGATAGGGAGGCCAATGAGTGTACGAATCTGACAATCTTCTTACATTGGTGGTCGCACAGCATCGTGGCAACAAAATAATGCGCCAAAGCTCTAAAATGATCCGATTTGACTTGGGCCAGTTTTGACCAAGAGTAAGGGATGTTCTCCTTGACTGGTGCTTGATTCATCGCGGTGTCCACAAGCATGTACATCTCTCCAACCTTTAAAACAAAGCACAAGACCCGCGTATGAGCTACTGACTCTTTATATTAAAAGTTCATTCAAGGCACTCCATATTGGCGCTGATCAACACTTATTGGAGTCTATACTTAAAGATGCACATTGTTCTCACAAAGGATTAAAAAAGAGAGAAAGAACTTCAGCAATAACAACAGATCTTGTTTTCCTCACAGAGGGTTAACGTCATTGCACTCCAGAGGGTCAACGTCATTGCCCAGAAGATCATTGGTTTTATAGCTCCCACTGCCTTAAGAAAGTTCAAAACATTCTCAAAGATCCATCTCACCCTGGGCACCCTTTTCTTTTGAACTATTATCATCTGGAAGACAGTACAGGATAATAAAAACAAGGGCAAATAGGCTAAAAAACAGCTTCTATCCCAGGGCAGCAGCTCTGTTGAATCCTACTGTATAGTGCAGTGTTGGGGGTTTTTGGTTCATGTGGAATATAAAGGATGTGTGTTTGTGTTTATTTTCATGGTCATGATGTGCATTGAAAATGGTGTTTGATTTCATTGTATGAGGTGCAATGACAAACTAAACTAAACTAAACTAAACTAAACTAAACTAAACTGATGTTCATCATCGAATCTAAAAGGCTGAGAATAACTTCCAGAAAGAAAAGCAGCTTTCTAGTCAATCAATCAATCAGAATAGAATTGGAAGGGACCTTGAAGGTCTTCTAGTCCAGCCCCCCTGCTCAAGCAAGAGAACCTATACCACCTCAGACAAGTGACTGTCCAGTCTCTTCTTAAAAACCTCCAGTGATGGAGCAACCACAACTTCTGAAGGCAAAGCTGCTCCACTAGTTAATTGTCTTCACTGTCATTCTTCACTGTTGAAACAAGCTTTGATCTTTTGATCATCCATAGAGGGGAGGTCCATTGGAACATTACAAGACCCTCTTCTGCCTCCCTAGCATCCCATAATAGGAAAAGCACCGTCTCTTTTGATCCTTGGAAGAGCTACGTCACAGGCAACTATCGTATTGTCCCAATGTCAGCAAATGATAAAGGTATGCGTACCGTTCTGCTCTCGTGCGGCTTACCTTCGCAACTTCCTGGGCCATTTTTATAAGCGTGAAAAATTCATTCCGTATGCCAGGAAGGCAGATCTGTTCAAAGATGCACTCCTGAACTTGAGCGAGCATCATCTTGATCAGCACACTCAACATGGCAGGGCTCATGTCGTAACTTGGAGTGTGAGTAAAAGTTTCTTTTAGATAGTTTAGAACTCCTGAAATTGGGGGAGAAGAAGGAAAGAGGATTCCTAGAGCATCAGTTCCACAACTGCATTTATCCATTCATTTCTCAGTTTAGATGTACATGTTTTGGGTCATCAAACGTTATTGAGGTAAGTCAAAGTTTGTCTTCAGTACTATTACTTTAATATAAAAATTGTTTGGAGGACTCCAGTAGAGTATTTCCCAAACTTACCAACATTAAGGTGTGTGGATTTCATCTCCTGGGATTCCCCAGTCACCATGCTGGAGGAATTCTGGGAGTTGAAGTCCACCTATCTTAGAGTTGTCACACTTGAAAAACACTGCTCTGGAAGATGCCGTAAGATGTCCGGTTTTCTAACCTACTCCCAACAACACACAAACATGGGAACAAGAATCACCTGCAGTTCTATAAGGCACTTTCAATGGTTTTTATGTAATTATTTATTTAATTGGTTTGCTGCCCATCTCTCCATTAGGGGCAAGATATAGAATCTTGGAAAGAGCCAATTTCCAGACTTACTAATGACTTGATTAAGGAGGATCTTCTCAACTCCTTAAACCCCTTCTAGCCTCAATGGTACTGTCATTTATGAGATAAGCTACTCACAAACTCTACTCTTGATCTCTTGGTTGTTTTATGTTCAACATTCCTTCTATTGCTTTCCCAGCCTCTTCACAGTCTTTCACACATTCCCCTAGGGGTGTAATCCTTGGCTGTCTAACCACAACATGGCATTCAAAGTTAGGAACTAAAGGACTTTAAAAGAAATCGATCCTACATGTGTACAAGGTGATTCATTGATATTTGATTATATAACAATAGCCCTTAGACTTACATATAGCAATTAGACTTACATACTGCCTCACACTGCTTTACAGCCCTCTTTAAGTGGGTTACAGAGTCAGAATATTGCCCCCAACAATCTGGGTCCTCGTTTTACTGACTTTGGAAGGGTGGAAGGCTGACTCAATCTTGAGCCAGTCAGGATCGAACTGCTGGCAGTTGGCAGAATTAGCCTGCAATACTATTTTCTAATCTCCGTGCCTCTTATAAATTGAGTTATTTCTTTTAAACACAGCCCATGCCCACAGCTAACAAAGTATAAAGCTACATTTGAAAGGACTTCAGCTGGCAGGGAAAACCCTTCAGAATAAAATTATTTATCCTTGGATTTCCGGCTCAAGCATCGAAGGCTCTTAATGACAGGTTGGAAAAGGTAAAACACTTTTTTTTAATGTAGCCAAGTTGAACATGTGCAAAAAGAATAAGGTGCACATAACTATATAATTCAGGTGACGTGCTCTTCCCAATAAGGAACACTCTATTCTAAGCAAGCATCAAAAACAAAAAAAGGGCAAATGATGTTGGTAAATAAATTCTAAGATATTTTCCTCCTCATCTCACTAGAATGCCGTGTTTATTATTCATGTTATATGATCCAATGCATTTTAATAAGAGAAAGCTTAGAGCCCAAACAGGGCAGATAATGCGTGTGTGAAGATCTCAATTGTTTTCAAATTCTTTGAAAGCGATTGCAAAGGTTCCACTTCAAATTATGAAAGATGGGGACCACATCTCTCTCTCTTTTTAAAAAATCTATATTTTCTATTATGAAGCTGGCAGAACAATTTCCCTCCTGATCCTCTCCCTCCACCTAGTTTCACCTCCAGGATTGGGAAGCATGAAATATATGTATTTTTAATCCATCAATTCCATCGTCAGGACAATTGAGAGGAAGAAACAAAAACAGAGGGGCATTTGGGAAAGCTCTGAGCAACTCTTGTCAACCTACACTCACCGTTCCCCTACAGGGGAACTAAAAACACACTCAGGGCTGTGACAAGACGACAAATCTGTCAACAGGAAAACTTTGCCAGACCGAACCAAGTTGGACCTCGTTCAAGAAAATGCCACACACAAACCAATTCTTTGGAAAGCTGAAAAACAAACATTTGCTGAAGCTTCAAATCCTTAGTGGCATTCGGCAGGGCTGAGATCTGATCATCAAAAAAATGCATTGTTCCCAACTGGTTTGTCAACTTTTATCGGCAAGTTTTAATTGCACAAAAAATGGATGGTTGCCCTGAAGCCTGTCTGCAAAGTCCCTCTCTTTCTCAACCCCCCACCCCTCCTCCACATTTCACTACCTCTTTGAAATTACTGTGAAATGCAAACTCCAGGCAATGTCAAATCTTTTAAGGAAACCTACCATGCCACACTCCAGCCCTTTCTGTCAAATACTCACGCATGCAAACAAACAGCGGGTTGTTGGGAAAAAGGGAGAGGTTGAAACCTTAGTGAGACTGCATTGTTTCCTATTCCAGACAAAATGGAGCCTTGTTTGTTGTGAAAGAATTTCTGTTGGAGATATTAAAGAGGAGGTAGGTTGGATTGACCTACCAAGATAAGTAATAAATGGAATACAGAGCTGGAAGGGACCTTGGTGATCTTCTAGTCCCCTGCGCAAGAAGAAGACTGTCAGGCTAACAGAACTTTTTCCCATTCAATTAGCAAGAATGAACTTCTGAGAACCAAACGTATCAAAAGGAATCCTTTATTGAGACAATTCATGTAGGGGGTCAAAGCAGCGTCTCAGGTCCCTCAGGCATACAGGGATACATAAGGGAGTTTAGAACCCCTCCCCTTATCTCGATGTGTATTTCGAGAATCAAAACCCAGTATGTTAATTCCCCTCCCGCCCCTTCTGTAGGAAGGATCTTTCTCACAGTTTCCCAGGACATACCTAATTTCCCCCCACCCCCTTTCTAGAATGAACTTTTTCCAGAGATTCCCTAGATACATCTCACTGGAATTTTTATGATCTTCTCATCTCCTGGCTGTGCCTCTCGGTGGTGATAGGTTCTGGCCATCTGGCTTTTCTCCCTCCATTGTATCATGTGTGGGTTATACAAATTTGATATAAGGTTAAATATATTCAGGTTACATCAAGAAAGGATTTATCAGCCTCCCCACCCGCTTTTCTTCTTCCACTGAAGAAATGACAGATACACGGATCTGACAAAGACTCTATACCAGTGGTGGCAAACCTTTTTGGCACTGATTGCCAAAACAGGAGCACACGCGCACTGGCAAATGGAGGAGCAGCTCCCTGGTGCACCAAACGGGAGCGCTGGAAACAGGAAGCTCGGTTTCCCAGCGTGCCACCTGGCCTTCTGGTTTCTAACACACATGTGTGTGCGAAGACCAACTGGCCAGTGTGCATGCATGCACCAGAACCTAGAAGAGCAACGGGCGACAGTTGGCGTGCCTGGAGATGGTGCCGCATGCCACTTCCTGCACGTGTCATAGGTTTGCCATCACGCCTCTATACCATCCATTCAAACGACTGCCTTATTATAAACCTCCAGTGGTGGGAGCGCCTACAACGTTGGGAGGTAAACCATTCATTCTACTGGTTAATTGTCCTCATTGTTAGGAAAATTCTCCTTAGTTGTAGGTTGGTTCTTTCCTTGATTAGTTTCCATCCATTGCTTCTTGTCCTGCCTTCAGGTGCTTTGGAAAATAACTTGACCCCTTCCTCTCTGTGGCAGGCCCTGAGATATTGCAACACTGCTATCATGCCTCCCCTGGTCCTTCTTTTCATTAAACTAGACATGCCCAATTCCAGCAACCATTCTTCGTATGTTTTAGCTTCCAGTCCCCTAATCAGCTTTGTCACTCTTTTCCTCACTCTTTTCATTCTCCAGTTACCGTTGTAATCTGCAAACCCTGGTTTGCAAATTACAATGGGTAAGGTTCACCTGACGTGCTAAGTTACACTTGGACAAAATAGGAGTAAAACAATTAGAATCCGATCAGCGATTGGGGATGTTTGCAAATATGGGTAGCCTTATTAGAAAGATCGCCAGATGTTATGCGCTGTTTTTTATATCACAACTCCAACAAAATGTGGTTAAAAATCCCAGAGGAAAAAAAAGTCAGGAACCTCAGATAACATTTAACCAATTCCACTATTTCTTAAGGATTTGAGAAATGTTTCTTTTGTTAGTCAGAGAGTCTATAAAAGAACATTTGTTCTTGCGCCATCTGCTCTTTGGCAAGGCCTTCCCGTATGTTATGTATGCTCAGGGTTGTGTTTATAGGTGAAAATCTTAGCAACAATCTTTCATTCTGTCCACAAAGGTACGTGGGCAGGGTTTGAATGATATTGTATTGCCTTTATGAGAACTGAATTCTCAACCGTATCCCATTGTTCAAAAATTCCTGAAATGTTTTCTCCAAACTCTTGTTTTTCCTTCAAAAAATTACTAATTGTTTTTCATTAAAGATTATGGGGGAGGTTACTGCAAAATCTCCATTCCCACCCCACTAACCTGCTTTCCAGCTCTGTGCAGGGCAACCAAAGAAGACCCAGCCGATCAACTGGGACTCAATAGGAGGCAGAGAATAGATGGGGGCGGGGCCAGTCAAGGTGGCATTTGCTGGTCCTCCCAACGACTCAAAATTTCCGCTACCGGTTCTCCAGAACTGGACAGAACCGGCTGAATATCCCCTCTGAAACGCACACATATTGCTGAAAATCCATAAAGGCATTGAGGCCACTGGGTAAGATTGCACAGTAACGTTCCAGAGCAGAAAAAAGGTTTACAGATGCCTGCAAATAGCAGTGGGGAGAGGTGAAAGGTTTGATTGCAAAGAATGGAAAGCAGTTAAATGACAGACCAAAAATTGTCCAGGATTTCGAACTGTAAGTCACTAATTCCCAACAACAACACTGACTCTGGCTAAACGGCCTTCTTAAGGGGCTTCCATAAATTCTCAAATTTTATTCATATCCATTTTATGTATTAATAATCATGTTTATACTCATACCTGTTATCTAGTACATGCTGGACAAAATAATAATAAATAAAAAATAAATAAATCTGACAGGGTGGAGGCAGAAGGAGTTAATAAGTTTTGGAAAGAATGTTTTCACTAAACAAAACAAAAATCCCTTGCTATTCTTGCTTACAGTTCTTTGGGTGTTAATTCTGCCTGCATTGGGCATCCAAAGAGTGTGAAAATTAAGCTCAAGACAATTCCAGGACCCAGAACAGAAACAAACCAGAGGAAATCACAATTGCAAACAAGAGGGTTAAAGCTATGCAATCTCCAGGCATTTCTTTAAGGGAGAGGCTCGGGGGCGGGGGGGGAGCCCCACCGCCTCCTTCTCGTTCCTACCTGCTGCCTTCTGAAAAGCACTGATGGCCTTTTGGAGCCCGGCTGCCGTTTGCCGATTGCATTTTGTACCGATCTGCGTGTAGAGGGCTCCGATGTTAAATAAAATGCTGGCTTTTTCCAGCAACAAATTCTTCTGGCAAACGGGGACACCCGTGAAAGAGTCATACCTTCAATTAAAAAAAATAAAAAAGCAAAGAGAACATCAATGTTAACGACCCAGCGAAGAAACAAAAACGGGGAGAAATGAATTGATTCGCTTTCACAAACATTCTTTCTTATTCATCTCAATTTAGACCCAAACGTAGGTTTGCATGCCAATTGGTTCAGAAGCTGCTCTCCGATTCATCTCAGTTACAGACCGGTTTCCATAATGGACTAAGCCAGAGGTGGGATGCAAATATTTTTACTGCTGGTTCTGTGGGCGTAGCTAGGTGGGCATGGCCACGTGGCTGGGTGGGCGTGGCTTCTTTTTTGCAGCAACCCCCCCCCATGCTCCGGGGGGGGGTTGCCTCCTGGCACAGCTGATCGTCAGGAGGAGAAAAAAATATATTTTTTTACTACCAGTTCAGCCGAACGGTAGCATTTTTTTACTACCGGTTCAGTTGAACAGGGCCAAACCGGTAGAATACCACCACTGGACTAAGCCATCCTTGGTTTAACTAGGGTGGGCTGAATAAAATGGTCGACGCAACCCATTAATTCACAGATAAATAAATCACTTTGTGAATTAGCATGATGTGTGAACCAGACCAGGTTCACACAGGTGCTTTTTCAAAAGGCAACTGGACTTCGTTTTTTAATCAATCAATCAATCAGAATAGAGTTGAAAGGGACCTTGGAGGTCTTCTAGTCCAACCTCAAGCAGGAAACCATATGCCATTTCAGACAAGTGACTGTCCAGTCACTTCTTAAAAACCTCCAGTGTTGTAGCACCCACAACTTCTTGTGCCGAGCTGGTCCACTGGTTTATTATTCTCACTGTCAAGAAATTTCTCCTTAATTCCAGGTTGCTTCTCTCCATGATAAGCTTCCATCCATTATTTCTTGACTTCTGGTGCTTTGGAGAATAGATTAACACCCCCCCCTTCTTTGTAGCAGCCCCTTAGATATTGGAACACTGCTGTTGTATCACCCCTAGTCCTTCTTTTCATGAAACTAGACAATGTTCAATTTCAAGAAAGATCTTACCAAGTATACAAAATGCCCAGATTTCTACTGGGTGAGAAGAACCGATTCTCTACAAAGCCAAGCTGTACGTAATAGCTCATCAGCATCTCAACTCCAGATTCATCTCTGCTAGGTGTCCGGCAGGCCTTTGAAAATATAAGGATAGGTATTAGCTATAAAGTTGATGTGTGGCCCCTATGAATGCTCTTAACTGATTGGGATTCAGGAAATATAAACAAAGCTATTTAAGGGGGTCTTTGGCAATAGCGCTGACACTTATATACCACTTCACAGGGTTTTACAGCCTTCTCTAAGCAGTTTACGGAACCAACCTATGGCCCCCCAACAATCTGGGTCCTCATTTTACCCACCATGGAAGAATGGAAGATTGAGTCAACCCTGAGCTTGGTTGAATCAAACTCCTGGCAGTAAGCAGAATTCACCTGCAATACTGCACTCTAATCACATATCAGTGTGACATCTATTTAATGGTCTTCTAAGGCCAGCTGTAGCTTAATTATAGTATGTTTATTATATAAATTATATAAAATTATTTTATATTATATTTGTATATTATACACATACAGACACACATACGTATACAGGTAGTTCTTGACTTACAACCACAATTGAGCCCAATATTCCCGTTGCTAAGCGAGACAGTGGTTAAGTGAGTTTTGACCCATTTCACCACTTTCCTTGCCCCAGTTCTTAAGTGAATCACTGCAGTTATTAAGTTAGTAATATGTTACAGGAATCTGCCTTCCCCATTGACTTTCCTATCAGAAGGTCGCAAAGTGTGATCCCATGACCTCAGAACACTGCAGTCATCATAAGTATGAGTCAGGTGTGCCAAGCATCTGAATTTTGATCACGTGACCATGGGGATACTGCAACAGTTGTAAGCATGAAAAACTGAATGGTCACTAAATGAACTGTTGTAAGTGAAGGTCTATCTGTGCATGTCATGCCCCCATCAGAGTCTGAATCCGAGGCGGAAGATGAACAGCCGAGAGAGAGGCTCCGTTGGCTGTGGAGGAAACTGGGGAAGGGCAAAGTCAGGCTGGGCAGAGATAGAACAAGGGAGAGGGAATTCAGATGAAGACCAAAGCCCACCCCCTCTTCATCCTAGGGAACGCAGGGAAGAACAGAGAAGAGAACAACATGAGTTGCATGGCTTACAGGGGAGGAAAGGGCCCTGATTCCCTTCACAAGGCACAGTTGGGGAGGGTGTTTAAAGGCGAGGCAGTTGGGAGAGGCATTTTTGGGGAACAAATGTTGAGTTTATCTAATGTTGGCTACTGTTATGTGAGTTCCTGGCATCCTCCCAACTGGTTGGATTTACTGCCGTGTTACTTCACTTCTGCCGGATTTATTACCTTATCTTGCTTTGTTGGATTTATAGTTTAAAGTTTTCTGTGTACAGTTTTGGATTGGAATAGCTGCAGCCAAGGGCAGTTGCAGGTTTCTGGGAGAGCTTTTCTCCAGACCGGAAGATAACCAGGTCATTGGGAGCAAAATTGCGGCTACTAAAGGGACCTCTACTTATTATCTGGCTGAGTTGCCTTTATGCCATGCCCGGGGTCATCACAGTATGTATTCAATACACAGTGTGTATTCAAATATCATCTCTATTAAATTATTGATACAATCCTAGATATTTTTCTCTTGTTCCAATTATGATCTTTTCTTGTTCAGATTATGATTTTGGCAAGTTTAAAACAGTTGTTTTGAGTATAACATTCCTGTTTCCCATTCAAAACACACTTTGGATGCTGAAAAGTTTGTTTTCAGCTATCAAGGTCAAAAGAGCCTGAAAGGGAAAAGAGAGAAGTAATAACTATTTATTTGTGTATTACATTTGTATGCCACCTGGCTCCCAATGACTGTGGGAGGTTCACAACAAATAAAATCATTATAACAGAATTAATTAAAGGAAAAGGAGGAGAAGGAGTGGTGGCCTGAAAACTAAATGCACTAGAGATTGGTACTGTTATTTCCCTTTTATTATGTTTAATTAAATGAGAATAAAACAAGGACAGGCTCTTTCCCTTTTCCCCCAAGACTGAAAATCAAACAGAACCTTCTTAAAACTTACCTGTCTTAAATCCATAAGATCTGCAATTTCATTTTCATATTCTGCACCATCTTCATTGTAATGTTCCAGAATAAAGTCCTGAAAATAATCAAAATAATCCATTAAAAATTTATTTTTTAAAAAAAGTCTCCAAATTGTGTATTTATTTCATTCAGGCACAGACATAAATTAAAATATCCAGCATTCTGCCAAGAGGGACTGAAGAAATCTACCTAAAAGGTTTACCCAGAATGATACCTGGAGTTGACAAGATGGAATTAAATGTAAACTGAGTTTCTTTCAAAAGATTCTATTCCATTAAAGTTCATTGCACTATAGACCCTCAAACTTGATTTATATATCTGGACAATCACTGCTGCTTTTTTTTGTCACAACTATGTCAGAGACTAAACCTTGTTTCTGAATGTAAGAGAGAAGATAGAAAAATGGAGAGCTTAGATTGGAAAAATATATCTATAACCTGATATTGAGAAAGTTTCCATATCCAATGGTATCAAAGTGATTTGTATTAAAAGTCGCTATATGTCATTAAAAGTTTCCCAGGAAATTTACATGACAAAGTTTATAGGAAGCTAGGTTCCTAAATTCTACAATGGAAGCTGTGAATGAAATGCGTATTTTCTCCCACCCCGCTTAGTTTAAAAATGAATTTTAAAAGCCAAGATGAGACAGAACACTATCTCATCAATACAGAGAATAAACTGGACCGTTTACACTAACCTGCTCATGTGACTGGATGCTCTTTTGATCTGATTAACGAAGCTATTGCTTAAGTTAGATACAGATATTCAGAGTTGGAATGGACCTTGTAGCTCATCTAGTCCAACCCTCCGCCTAAGCAGAATATTCTTATAGAAATTCTGATTTATAGCCTATATTGCAGGCAAACTCTGCCCATAGCCTGCAGTTCAATCCTGTCCGGGCTCAGGCCTGACTCAAGATGGTTGCAAATAATGCTTACGTTGTAAACTACCCAGAGTGTGCTATAAATCACTAACGGACCATATACAAGTCTAAGGTGTTATTGCTATTATACTGAAATTCCTTGGCACAAGTGTTTCTTAAGCTTGGCCACACCCTCCAGCTGTTGTGAACCTCAACTCTCAGAATTTCCCAACCAACATGGTCATCATTGATGAAAATTCTTAGAGTTGACAAACGTTGTTTACCTCCACAATTGGCCAGGGGAAAAGGGGATCATCCCAAATTCCAAAGTCTGCTGGACTTGTTTGCTTGCTAGACAGATGACTAGCAGGCCTGTCCTATCATTAGGAGAATGAGGCTCAAAGGGCTTTAGCAAACTAGCTTGCACAGCTAATTTTGAGGCTTCCTGGCCCTTCTAAAAAAAAAAAAAAATGGGCTGCTGGACTTTAGATCTCTTTCACTGTCTATCTCAAAGCACAAAGTTTTGGTGTGATCTCTGATTTTTAAAAGCAAGAGAGTGAGGCTTGGGGTAGAATCAAAAGAATAAAGTCCATTAAGTCAGACATATCCAACAGTTAGAGGAGAAGGAACTCAGAAAAAGGCATGGAGAAAGAACTAATTTAATGCGCAGTATATAAATATTTGTATAGCTACTGGTCAGCAGCTTCTGGATAAATCTAACAACAACAAAAAGGGGAGTTTTGAAATACAAAGAAGCAATTTTAGGAAAGGGATTCCTATGAGGCTCTGCCTCTCTGTCCAAATTAAATTAGATCCAGTTTCTATTGTAATTTGTTAGTTATTTTATTCCTAGGAAAAAGCTTAAGGGGAGAGCTATTATCAGGAGAACGTTGGCAATTTACTTTTTTTTTTTGAGCAAATATTTCTTTTAACATGTTTTTAATTGTTATTTATGAGCAAACAGCCTTAATTAACAGCCTTAGGGCTGCTGCTTGGGGAAAAAAAAATACCTTAAGCGGTGCTGCGAAGTCGACATCTTTAGTCTCTTTCAGGCCAAGCGGTATCAGAGGAATGCTGAAGGTTTCCCTGCATTAAAAGAAGAAATGCACATTAATATCTTTGATTTATAAGAGTTGGTGGCTGAGAAATTGTTATATATAAATCACTGGTTTCATTTGGACTTCCTCATCCGACTCAGCGCACGGAATGGGACACACCTGTTCCCTGTGGCTTAAAAAAAGCACAACTTTTCCAGGCCAAAGGCCACTCTTGACCTTTAAATGGCACAGTGGAGCCCATATTCTAAAACATACATAGCTCCCGGTGCAGAATAAAGCAAAGGAAGGCTTAAAACTCAGTTTGCTCTGATTTAGTTTATACTCAGTTTATTGAGAAATAAATTCCAATAATGGCATGCGCTTCGTGCTATCCTTCCTTATGATTTAGTCACCGTTTTAAACAGATTTAAACAGATAATCAGAGTTGGAAGGGACTTTGTAGGGACCTTGTAGGTCATCTAGTTTAACCCTCTGCCCAAGTAGGAGACCCTACATCATTTCTGACAGATGGGAGTCCAATCTCTTCTTGAAAGCCTCAAGTGATGGCGCTCCCACAACTTCCGAGGGCAACTTCTGTTCCATTGGTTGATTGTTCTCACTGTCAGAAAGTTTCTCTTTATTTCCAGGTTAAATCTCTCCTTGTTCAGTTTCCATCTATTGTTCCTTGTCTGGCCTTGGAAAATAGCCTGACGCCCTCCTCCTCTCTGTGGCAGCCCCTCAAATATTGGAAGACTGCTCTCATGTCTCCCCTTGTTCTTCTCTTTACTGAACTAGCCATGCCCAGTTCCTGTTTTGCTGTTGTCATCAATATCCATCAATACTGAAGGCAAGTTTTGCAGAAGTTCTTGGAGCCATAGCAAGAATTTGAGGGCTAGGTGTAACCTGGGCCCACTTCCCACTGCCCCATGTTTAATTAGCTGGAGCTAATTAAACTATAACCTGGAGCCAGCATATCTAAGATAAAAGGATTCCTACAGATCCTCCCAGAGTTTATAGTTTTGTTTACCTGCCTAACCATCTTAGAAGTCCTGGTCCTTGTATCCTGCAATCTAGTTATTTAGTTTACAGGTATAATCTCCTCCAACTCCCCAGAAAACCACCAAATTGTAGGCACTTAAGTCAGAAGACTTAAGTTTGCCAGTGGAAATACTCACAGGAAAGGGAAATAATTAATCACAGTGAGGTGGACTTAGGAAGATGTTCAATCACAACAAGGCTGAGGAGTATTATGGTCAATTAGCATGAACAGCAGGAGAAACTGAGCCCTGGAGACTTCTGGTTCTCCAAAGACATGGTGTAGCCTCAAACAACAAAGAGTAGTCAGGCTACTAGGAGGAGTATTCCTGGAATCTATTCTAAGTCAACCCTCCTTAACTGTTCTTTTGTAAGCACAGATCACTTATCTTGCATTATAGTAATGTGTTCCATATACCAGGGGGTCCAATCTTGGCAACTTTAGGGTTGGTGGACTTCAACTTCCAGAATTCCCTAGCCAGCATAGTAAATTGTGGGAGTTGAAGTCCACAGGTCTTAAATGTTGCCAAAGTTGGACATTCCCTGTCACATACTAAGAGATCCAACTGTTCTAGCAAAAATAAGCAGAAATTCTAAGCATAAAACCATCGCCATCATTTGCACAGGAATATTCCAACCTAATGTTGCCCTTCCACTATTTTCTCCTGGTCCTCCTTTGCCATTGTCAAGAACAAACCCAACAGCCATCCCAACAGGAGCCATCTACTGCTATTATTTTGAGGCAGCCTGCATTTGGAGGGAACCGAGAAACAGAAACAAAGCTTTCCTTTGGATTTTCAATGTCCCTCTCAAGATCATTTTTATAAAGCTGCCAAGGCTTTTGCACATAGCTTTCTAAGTCCACCAGTGCTCTTGCCAATACTCGTGCTGAATGTAGAGTGGCGTTCAGTTCCTCCTTCTGACTCTCTTGAAATGCCAAACTCACAGGGAAAAAATAGTAGAAGTCCTTCTAAATATTCAACCAAGCCAGAAACAACCGAACTCAGAGAACTCAGAGAACACCAAGGGCCCCTCATTTCAACTCTGAGCTATAAATATTCTTGTTTATCGGTGAAAACTGGCAAAATATTGAACACTTCAATCTCTGGATGGATTAATGCATCATTTATGATCAATAGATGGGTTAAAATCCTAGTGACAGCAAAACCCAAGCATATGCATAACACTCTGTGTGTGTGTGTGTGTGTGTGTGTGTGTGGTATTCTGCTTTAAGAAAACATGTGTGTGTGTGTTCTATTCTAGCAATTGCTTCATGACTGGGCAATTTTCTTCCCCATAACAACATCCTGTGAGGTCAGTTGGGCAGAGTGACCAGACCCAGGTCACCCACGAAGCTTCCTTAGCTGAGGTTCAACCTGAGTTTCCCCAGGACCAGTTAAACACCTTTACCAATTAAATCACATTAATACCTTGATTCACACCTGTTTTTGTTAACTTTAAACCTGGGCATCTACTACGACAAGGTGGAATAAGGACAGGGGGGTGTCATCTGTCTTTGTGGGTATGTTAAAATTCAAGTTCCGTGTATTGATATTGCTTACATACAATAGCAATAGCACTTATACTTATATACCGCTTTATAGTGCTTTAACTATAACTAAACCCTCTTTAAGGGTTTACAGGGTCAGCATCTTGCACCCCAACAATCTGGGTCCTCATTTTACCATCCTCAGAAAGATGGAAGGCTAAGGCAACCTTGAGCCTGGTGGGATCCGAACTGCCAAATTGCAGGCAGCTGATAGTCAGCAGAAGTGGCCTGCAGTTCAGCACTCTAACCATTGCACCACCAAGGTATACATAAGGATATACCTCTTCAATTTTGTCCCACCCACCTTTTACATGGTTCTTATGACTCCCTTTTACAGTGAAGCTCCTGATATGATGATGGATGGCCATGTTTGCAGGCCTCTCAATCCAGTAAAAAATGTCTAACACTGTGAATAATCCTGTTTTGTAAACTCTAGTGTCTCTGTTTGACAACAACCCATGCCAAAATGCCATCTTAATTATCTTAAAGTAATCTAAGAATCTAAGCCAGCATCTGCTTGCCTATCTATTTGGGATGGAAGATTTTTTTCCCCCAGAATGCTCCTGTGAACCATTGAGACACTGTCCATTTACTTGGAGCCAAGCCGCACTAAAAGCCTCCAATACAGGAAACCAGCCAATCAAGACAAAAAAAGCTACAAAACAGACAGAAGATATTAGAAACACCAATCAAGCAGAACACAGCAAACTCCAAGACCAATAAACACAGACCAAGACTCCCAATCAATCAGAATGAAGAAAAAACCATTCTGGCACAGCAGTAGGCTAGCACCAAATTTAAAACAAAAACAGCTGTGAAAGTTTGACTCACAGACAAACACAATACAGAAGCCTGATGATGGCAGATGAGATTCTGCCGAAATGTTGCTACAACTTTAAAAGCACAACTATAATGACGTGGGAAAATACCCGAACAAAGCTGAATACCATACATACATACATACATACATACATACATACATACATACATACACAAATATTAATCACTGTCCATTTTGAATGCATATTGGAAAGAGGAAACTTGAAAGTTTGCAAGGTTGATGCACAAAACTGTGACTGAATCTACTGTAGATGTTCTTGTGATGACCTGCGGCAATACAGTCAAATAAGCAAGAAAAGTCCCTTTATTATCTCCAATTTTGCCCCCAATGTCCAGGTTACCTTCAGTTGGAGAAAAAACTCTCCCAAGAACAGTCTTTAAGTGGAGGAAATTTAGTCTGAAAACGAAGTACATACAAACTGTAACTAAAAATCCAAACAAACCATGCTGCAGTAATTAACTTGACAGAGCAGGAGAAGGAATTGCAGACTTGAAAGCACCTCAAAACACACAGTTGGGAAGATGCCAGGAACATAGATAAGCCTAGACAATACCAGATAATTCACGATTTGCTCCCAACAACTTGCTGTGCGCAGCTTCCCTTTTTAAACACTGTGTTCCCAGCTGCAGCTATTGAAGGGAATCAGGGCCCTTTCCTCCCCCGTAAGTCACACAACTTACGTTGCTCCCTTCTCTGCTCCTTCCTGCATGCCCTAGGATGAAAAGGGGGTGGGTCTGGGTCTTCCTCCGAATTCCCTCTGCCTTGCTCTACCTCTCCCCTGCTCTGCCCAGCTGGAGTTTGCCCTTCCCCAGTTTCTTCCACAGCCAACGGAGCCACACTCCCACTCCCTGTCAACTGTTCAGCCTCCCGCTACGAATCAGACAGGGGCATAACAGTTCTGCTTTGGATATCATGAAGCTTCTTCCCAGAAGGTAACAAGGAAAACAGCCTGTGAAGAGAAGGCGTATTGCCCCAAACAATACTGTGGACCCTGCTCAAGCATCACTTCTATGCTATGTCTTAAGCATGTTCACTCTCTGTTTTTCCTGTTTGCTTCCAGGGGATTTAAGGGGATTAAAATAAGGGGAAGAATTGCCTCTGCCTTTCTCACTGCCACCCAAACCACCTCGTTGGCAGTATTAATTACTCTGAATACTTTTCCCAGAAGCAATTTAAAAGGTCTCCCTTAATCCTTGAGCACAGCAGGGCCATTTCGGTAATACAGCTTGTTCTTTTGTCATTTTTCTTAAAAAGAAGAATTCTTTCTTCAGTTTTACATTCTCTGGCTTGTTTGTTTTTAAATTAGTTAGCAAAAAGAAGAGAGCATCACTGCAATCAATTCCCCCCCCCCTTCACTTACTCTGTGTTCTGGTACACCTCCACGGAAATATTGAGCCCTTCTAACTCTTCCTTGAGGATCTGGAGGTTGGAATTGACATAGCTGAGTTCCAGCAACACCTGTTCTCGGATTTTGGGGCTGGTCGTTGCACTGCCAAAGGAAAAATAAATAAACACATGTTTGGAGAACAATCACTTAATAATAGAATGAGCCTAACCATCATTTTTCTCTATTTTTCAAATTATTTCCATATATATAAATATATATATATTTCTTTTTACAACCCTGTAATCCCTTTTATCCGGATGGAGTTGGGGCAACTCAGCATTTACTGTCTGAATGCCCTTCATGACACCTATGTGAAGTTCACAGCAGATATTTTATCTTGGCAGCTGGATAAGAAATGTCTGTGGTTGCCTTGGATTGAACTCTCAACTTTCCAAGTGGAAGGCAAGGGCCTTCGCCTCTAGCGCACCATGCCGCTCAATTTCCTTATAATATTTTCCTTGCCTATTTTCTCTATTCTTCAGATTATTCCCACACCGACATAAATAGGTAGTCCTCAGCTTAGAACTTGGCATTGAAAAAAGTAACTCATGACAGTTTTTCACACCTGCGACCGTTGCAGCGTCCCCGTAGTCACGTGATCAAAATTCAGGTGCTCAACAAGTATTTACGACAGTGTCAACTCATAAAATATTTATCTGGTCTTTTTAGAGTTGCCAACAGAAAGGGTGGGTGGGGGGAGCAGTGCAGCAGCTTGCAAAACTGAAACTGCATTCCATAAATGTTTTCAAAGATAGTAACTAGGTGACTAAAGTTTCTGCCTTGCAAAAATCTAACTGGAGAGCATGATTGATGACTCTTGGCTATGGATGTGTCCCATTGGAGAATATGAATTACGATACACCCAGGGGTTGGGGGAAAACCAGGGCCAAGGGTGACAAGGAATGATGTGTCTCAGAGTTGGCTACACCCAGGCAGTGCCAGCATGTTAACTCCCGATAAATCCTTTTTAAGTTTTGGAAGTGTAGCTTGAGACTCATGATTTAAATGGGGGTAACTGCTGGAATCCTGACAGACAGTTGCAGCATCCTGGGATCCCCTTTTGCAAATTTCTGACAAAAAAAAAATTCATGGGGAAGCCCAATTCACTTCATGTGATGACCCGGGAAGCAGCACACACATAATAAATTCCCAAACCTAAATAAATTTCCTTTAATGCCTCCAACTTGGCCTCACTGTGCAATTGTTCGCAGTTGGAGATTAAACTCTTTCCAAAATAGTCTCCAAATGAAAGAAATACAGTCCTAACTCAAAGAACAGATAACGGAGAAATAAAAAACCAAAACAAACCGCACTGAAGGAATTTTTATGACAGACCAGGATAATTAATTACAAACTTCAAGAAGATAACAAGGCACAGTCCGTTGGAAGATCGCCAACCAAGATAAACCTCAGCCAGAAATAAAACACACTTTGCTTCTAGCAACGCTGTGTTTTAAACGCCCCTCCTTTATACTATTCCCCCCAGCTGCAGCCAATGAGGGGGATCATGGCCGCTTCCTTTCCCATAAGCCAAGTTGTTCCCTTCTCTGTTCCTCTCTGTGTGCCCTAGGATGGGGAGGGGATGGGCCTGGGTCTTCCTCTGACTGCCCAGCTGGCCTCTGCCCTTCACCAGTCTCCTCCACAACCTCCGGAGCCATACCTTCACTCCCTGTCAGCTGTTCCTCCTCTCCCTCAGAGTCAGTCTCCACCAGGGGCATGACACTTCACAGCCATGTTATTAGATTAACAACTGAAGGCAAAAACTTAACAACTGTGGCAAGAACCATTGCAGAATGGGGCAAAACTCACTGAACAGCCGTCTTGCTTAGCAAGAGAAATTTGGGGCTCAATTGTGATCATAAGTCGACAACTACTTTAAACTCTAGAATAACGATGTGGTTAAAACCATCCCGTTGCATCCAACGGCCCAGAGAAAAAGGGTTATTGTTTTGAAAGGAACCCATATAGAAAGAAAAGCAGGAGAGGGTTGGTGGAACTGCAGATAGCCTCCTTTGAGGGGGGAACAGTGAAAACATTATGTAAATCGGCATGCCAAGCTCCGCCTTCTATTTATTTTCAATAAGGTGTTGGAGCAAACGGGCTGCTGGCTGGGAAGTGAGAGGGTGTTCCTGTTGAGAAGGACAAAGGCTGCATTTTGTGACTGTGGGCAGAAAAGGAGCGGGGACTCGTGGGAACATACCGGAGGAGGTTTTCTGCGCCAGCTCTCATCCTCACTGCTTTCAGAATCTGCTGGTTCAGGACAGCTCTCCGATTTTGCAATTTGCTCCGCCCAGTTTCTGCAAGGGGGTTGCATCCCTGAATAACAGAAAAGATATCCATTATCAAAAGGACAGACCACAGAAAGAGAGAAGGAAGGTCGATTCCTCTCCCCACCCTGAAAAAAATAAAGCCTATCCCTGCATTTTAGAAACGAAACTTTGACAAGAACGAAACTTTTGATTGTGGGTTTCACAGATCAGACTGATAAAGATTCTTGTAGACATGACTGGTTTATACTATTATGGTAAAAACAAAAAGTTGTGATTGTTGTTAATGCCCTATTCTACTGTAACAGATAGTTGAAAGTCAACGCTTCTTTTTCTTTTTCTCCCTTTCCCTGTCCTTTTATTTGCTTTGGTATTTTACATTTTATAAAACTTTATAACTTAATAAACCCGGATAAGAAATGGCGGAGTTGTTGCAGAAAAATAGTTCTCGGTCTTCTTGAGAAAGAAGATGTGATAAGGGACAGCACCCGAAATCTTGCATCTGTGGCAAGAGGGGGAACTCCAGAGGAGGGAGAATTCCAGATGTTGCGGACTTACCGCTCCCAGCAGCCCCTGCCAGGATGGCCAAAGGTGAGGGATGCTGGGAACTGTGGTGCAGAAATTGTCTGAATAGATTCAAAATCAGTCTCCTGTCTTTCTGGAACTTTTTGGAAGAGTTTCCACAAATGGGTTCTGCAGCAATCACTTAAAATATGTTTGTCAATTTCCTTCCTTTCCGATTTACTTTTTCTCCCAATAATCAGCTTTTCCAACCAGTCTTGTCATGTGGGCATTTTGCTTCTAGGTGGCTTGTGGGTTTATTCCTAGCACAGAACTTCTGCTCAAATTTCCTATTACTTCCCACTAATATTTCTTTGATGTTGACCATGGAAACATGTGCATCTGGAGAACTGACATATCCATCACTTGAATAATGGTTTTAAATATGAAGAACTTTTAAGAATTATAATGCTATTTTCTTTCTTTCCTCCAGATTTTATGGGAACAATAAGCTCCAAATGTCCTGTGGTTTGAGAAGTTGCCCTTCAGGTGGTCCCCATTTAACAGCCAATGACCATTTAAGATACAATGGACTTCCCCAGAGCTACTTAAGTTCTATGGATGTATTACTACTACTACTACTACTACTATTATTATTATTATTATTATTATTATTATTATTCCTATCTTCTTTAGCAATAGCACTTAGACTTATGCACTGCTTCACAGTGCTTATACAGCCCTCTCTGGGTGGTTTACAGAATCAGCCTACTGCCCCAACAATCTGGGTCCTCATTTTACCAACCTAGGAAAAATGGAAGGCAGAGTCAACTTTGAGCTTGGTGAGATTCGAACTGCCAAACTGCAGGCAGCCGGCAGTCAGCAGAAGTAGCCTGCATTCTAACCACTGCATTTTAACCACTGTGCCACCATGGTTCATTTCTATCCCCTCTTATTGGTATCATCATTATGATCATTATTACTCTCCTGCTTTGCACATACACTGGGAGCATTTGCGCCAGAGACAAATTTCTTGTGTGCTGAATTAAACTTGGCCAATAAAGTATTCTATTTTCTTATGACCCATTTTCGAAGTTCCACCAGCCATGCTCACATACCCCTGCACATGCTGTCCTTGATGGAAGGTATCATGCTGTCTCACAAGGATTGGGTTTTCACATCTCATGAAACCAAGATGAATTTCATCATTTGGCACCGAATTATAAGCTACCATTGGCTGAATCTACTCCTTGTGTTGTGCCATAAACATGGTACACAAAGTGCAACAGCTGGCACATCACAATGATGCCAGCACCAACAAAACCATGATGAGGCGAAGCTAATGGTAGCTCCATTGCCAGCAAACTGGCCCATCCAATCCAGTCTTCAAGATCTGGAAACCGTCGAAGTCCTCATATGTAATTTAGGATGACAGAGGTTGAATCTGTGAGGCTCTTTAAACAAGCCACATCCTGAAAACTGACCTGTGGGTTGTGGTCCTTCAAAAGGAAGTGTTGCCTTCAAATGACCCGGTGTTTCATTTCATTCAAGAGATGCTATCAAACCACACTGGCGTACCACAAATCACCTTTGATTGTGTTTTTCATCAACCAGAGTAGAAACAGATCAAAACAGCAGATAGTCGACCTTAAAATAAAATAAAAAACCCCTGTCCAAATGTAAGGCTGTCATCTTGGTATGTGAAAATATTTCACTTTTATGTCATGTTTCAATCCACAAACAGGAATTCCAAGCATTTTTCTCCCCTAGCCCAGGATATCTGGATATCTGAAAGCCCAAAGACCCTTACAAAGACATTATAATGACCAAAGTTGCTGGGAGGGATTTCCTTAAGTTTCTTTTAGAAACCATTGCTTGGGTCCAAAGCCTCATCTTCATTCATGACAAGATCTCACACAAAGCAAATTAGAAAAAGGTTGCACTTCTGCTGTGTGTGTTTCTTTTTTCTTTTCTTTTCTTAAAAAAAAAAGAAGAAACTGTTTTATTTTGTGGCTACTCTCTTACTGAAAGATAAGAAATTCAAATATGACTAGGACTGCAGAACAGGTTAAACAGTTTGCTTAACTGGAACAAACATCGTACTAAGGGCAGTAAAGCTTTAAAATCAAGGAAAGATCAAAAGCCAAGGCCATCAAAACTGGCAGACCCAGCTAATTCCTCAAAACCTGGTTCCAAATATCTAAAAATCTGCCACAAAGAAGGAGGGAAATCAACCTATTCTCCAAAGCACCCGAAGGCAGGACAAGAAGCCAGGAACGGAAACCAATCAAGGAGAGAAGCAACCTAGGAGTAAAGAGAATTTTTCTGACAGTGACAACAATTAACCAGCTCAATGGCTTTTTCCAGAAGTCGCGGGCGCTCCGTCACTGGAGCAGAGGTGGGTATTCAGCAGGTTCTGACCAGTTCTGGAGAACCGGTAGCAGAAATTTTGTGTAGTTCGGAGAACCGGCCAATACCACCTCTGACTGGCCCCGCCCCCATCTATTCTCTACCTCCCAAGTCCCAGCTGATTGGCTGGGTCTCTTTTGGTTGCCCTGCACAGGAGAACAGAGCTGGAAAGCAGGTTAGTGGGGTGGGGAGGGAATGGAGATTTTGCAGTAACCGTCCCTCCTGGAGTGGGGAGGGAATGGGGATTTTGCAGTATTCTTCCCACACCGTGCCCACCAAGCCATGCCCACAGAATCGGTAGTAAAAAAAATTGGAAACCCACCACTGTATTACTTGCACGGCTGAAATACAGGCAGCAGATCAAGCTGTTGTTTTGTGGTTACCTGTTTTCTGTTCAAAGCAGGGGAAGGTAAAAAAAAAAAAGTTGGCTTAAAAAAAGATTTTATGAAAAGCACAGATGTCCCTTGAGGTACCTTTGAGAAAAGAATGGTGTTCTGCTTGCATGGAGGCTGGTGAAAGAGAGAGAGTTAATGTCTCCATTGGAAGTTAATGACTTGCATCGGGAGCATAGTAAAAAGAGAGCTGGACAAATATTAACCAGTATATAAAAGGAGACTTCCTGTTCTCCTCCTTAAAATGTCTCTTGGAGAAAAAGCTATCCAGTGTCTTAAAGGCCTGAAGAATAAGATATGAGTCTGACATGACAATTTTATTTCTAAGAAATGAACAATAGAAGCAAGAAAGCTAATATGTTGCCTGGCTAGCCATAAATACTTGCCTCCCATTTGAATAAAGCCCAATTTATTTTTTCTTTCTTTTGCGGGGGTGGGATGGAGGTGGGGACAAAGGTCCATGTTGCAGACTTGCATTCATAAACCAGTCAAGCTGTTGTCTGCAAGACTTCAGAAATAAAAATAGCTTGATATCGAAATCTCTATAGAGCCTCAATCAATATTCACAGTTAGCAACTGAACTAAATCTTTATGCAATCAAGGTGCCAGCAACCCACTTTTTAAAACTTCTATTCATTTTTATTTTATAGTTTACAATAATTCCATCTTTCATTTCAATCCTCTGTCGACTGGGTACATATATCTTGCACTTACAATTATAATTAATACTTCACTTACCAATATAACAATAATCACATTTTCTTATAGCTATTATTTAATATATGTATTATTATTTTTAACAAACTTATTTTATTGCTCTATATATTCATCTGGTCCATTTTAATTTATTTTATTTTCCAACCATTGATAAAATAAATCTCATATCATACAACATTCTGTTCTTCTTTTTCTTTGATTACCAATGTTAACCTATCCATTTCTGCACATTCAAATATTTTCTCAATTACTTTTCCCTTTATTGGTATCTTATAACTTTTCCAATTCTGAGCAAATACAATTCTGGCTGCTCCACTTTTTAAAACTTCTGATAATGAAACCATTGGGGGAAAAATGGAGAACTGGGATCTCCTTCAGACAATTGGACTGATTGATTCTATTGAAATGTTGATTGATGGAACCTAGGACTGAGGGAAATGCAGAATATACTCCATTAGGGTGTGTTTTGCAACAGATATGCCAACAAAAAGAAAAATTAGCCTTTCAATGAATGCAGATCTCAATTTAAAAAAAACTTCCTAATGTATTATACTGAAAGAATGGAGATGTTTATGGCCTACTTCAATAGAAAAAATTCCTAATGCATCATATTGGAAGAATGGAGAGTTTGTGGCCTGCCTAAGATCTATTTACATGGAGTATGTTTCTTCTCTAGAAACTTAATTTCATTTCCCTAGAGCTGCCATCACTGAATACGTGACATTTTATTATTGATTATATTGTAGAAACAATTACTGTTCCTTTAACAAATGGGCAGAACATTTTGAGGACACAGGGCTGCACCTAACCTTTGAATCAAATATTGAAGAATTTGGCGGGGCAAAGACAAACACGAAGCCGTATGGGGTGAAATGCAGCAAGGTATTAATTAAATATAGTCAAGAGGATTATTTATCAAGTGTTCCCTCCTTGCTGCATTAAAAATAAGAATCTGGGCGGCATCTCCAGAGACTCCAGTGGAGCTGCATGCAATTCTGGGGCCGCAGCCTGCACACCACAGGCTTAATAT